TTTCTATTATTTATTCTTACTCTAAAAATTGCTAAAAATTTAAAGTTATAAACGTATATAAAAATAAAAAATTAATATTCATCACAATGAATTTGTGAAAGATCAAATGTATTTTGTCGTAATTGAAAAACAATTAAAAAATTTAAAATTCCTCTACAATAAAAGGCAGGCCCTGCAGAATAGCTAAAATGTACTTACAATTTACAAATCAAGGTATCGAAAGGTTAAATATCTTTTAACGATTAAATTATTAACGATTGGTTAAAAAATGTCGATAATAAAAAGGAAGATAGTATAAATAATAACTATTAATTAAGTTTACCGGGTAATTATTTTTAATTTACCGGTTGAATAACCAGAAAAAATCCAACTGTTTTCATTCTTATATATTTTTTTTAGCTTTACGATATCAATCAATTTGATATTAGTACTAAACTTCAAGATTGCTTTAAGGTAACACTACTTTATTATTGATATTATTTTTATACCTATAAAGTTTTTATTGACTCTTTAATTCAATAAACTTACATTCAAATTAATCACAGTTTAATTCATAGTTCTATTATTCTCGTCATTTAAAAGTCTATGCTACGTTATCAGGATTCAATTGATTCTGCGCCGATATTGTACCAGGTGGATTCAGCTAAACATTCCTACAGTATAAATTGGCCAGACAATATTATTTTTACCAAATTTCAATCCACATTACCTAAAGATCAAGACTGAATATTTTATTGAAAATCACGATGAAAAATGAATGTCAAATAAGTTATGGAGCAGTTATATACCTTTGTAAGTAAAAATCGAGTACAAGATAGAAATAAAACAAAATTCTATTTATGAGCTTATTTGAATGTAATACGGAAAATCATCTCATGTCGGATCATATCTTGATAGACTTAGTTCTGTTTAGCTTTAAGAAATTACTTTAGTAAAAAAACTAGAAAAAATTATGATAAAACATTTTTCTAAGTATAGCATTTCCGATTTGTAATTTCTGTATTTAACTTAGTATAAATTTTCACCATTCTTACTATACCTGATCCTAT